AGAGGGAGAGAAAGGAAGGGAGAGAGAGAGAGAAAGAATATACAGAAATCGAGAGCCTTCCTGCATACAAGTTTATCTTCTTTTTCTCGATCCACGTAGCGTGTTCTCAGTGCTCGTTTTGTAGCTTTCGGTTATACGTGTTGTATACTTAACAGAGTTCGCGAATAACAGGGATATATTATTGGTATACTTATGCATTTATGCAAAATTTGAATACGTATAGAAATACGTATTGCAGAATATACATGATATGAAAAAAGAAAAGAATATAAAATATCCAAAGCATTGTAATACTGATGTAACGAAGAGTAAGGCAAATTTAAGCTCCATTTTTTTTTTTTTTTTAATTAATTAATGTTCACTTAAAAATTTAATTTTGCATAAAATTAATCTTTATTTCTTGAAACAAAATGGAAAAATTCGTTAGATTGAATTGCAAATAAAAGTTAGAAATAATGAATTATTGAACATCCCTGATATTTATTGAAACTCTGTACTACAAACATACCTTCACAGAACGACTCATCACGATGCTTGTATCCTATTTGCTGCTATTCGTGCCGCTTTTTAATTTAATATTTTACTTACTACAATATTAACATAAAACAATAATTGTACAATGTACTGTAGCAGCAAGTTGGATATTTATAAGAAGAATCCACTATTCTCTATGTACAATGTACTGAAACAATTCATACATATATCTTTCAACAAATATCTTATGCTTAAAATTATACGGAAACAATATTATCAACGAGTATTTGTTTCTCTATTCTTAATTTTTACATTCTTTTTTTTTTTTTTCATATAGAAATATGCTTGTATACGATCTCTGCATAATTTATGTTCTATTCATATTCTGGAATTAAATCGATATTTATTTATTTTATATTATATTTGCCTAAAATGCGTAAATTTGGAAAGAATATTGCTAAATATTTTGCAAGAAATGTTGCAAAAGTATCGACATGTGTACATGTAACATAGAATATAGTGCAATGTTTGTAATGACACGTAGTAGCATATGACTATGTCATTATTAATGACAATTTTATTTCCTTTTGTTTTCGTTATTTACACGTGCATCGTGGCAAAAAAAAATATGTATTTTTTTTCTTTGTGAGATTAATTTTTTTTTTTTTTTTTTTGTACATTTTT